ATCAGGCTGGGAAGGGGTCTGAGCAGACTGGATTCGCAGCCTGAGAGCAAACTTGAGTGGAGGTGGAGGGGAGACCGTCTTAGGGCTCAGCCCACTGGGCCAGCGATGTCCACCCTTCATGGAGCCTTGGCCGGTGGGGGTGGGGGGTGGGCGCTGTGAGCTCGGGTCCAAGGCCAGCTGCCTGGGGGCCGTGCTGCCAGTCTGGCCTGGTTGGGATCCAAGTCAGATGGGCTTCCCCTCCCTCCTCCCGCCAGCAAAAGAGACTGGTGAAGCTGGGTCAGTCGGAAGAGCCTCGCCCACAGGCTCTCAAATGGATGGATGGATCAAGTTCCAGAATGCATTGCGGGTTCTCAAGCACTTTAAAACCTGACTCCCGGCCAGGCATCATGAAAGCCTCGTGTCCCTGGACTCTCCACAGAAATCACCAAAACCGCCTGCTGGGAGCCACGTGCCGTCCAGGGAAGAGCCTGCCCCCAAGAGAAAGCGCAGGCTGCTTTAGGCCATCTCTGAGCTGACACCTACCCGGAGGCAGACATGTGCCTTCCCCCAGCCCAGGCGCTCAGCCTGAGAGCCAACTTGGTGCGGCTTCCTCAGCTGGAATCTGGCTGTGACATGTGCAGAGGAAGCGGGAGCTGGAGCAAATGGCCAATTTCTGGTGCTGTCAATACAGACAACGGGAGTCTAACGGAGCGTGAAACTCGGATCTGACGGACACCTGGCCAAAGGAGGGCATAGGAGATTTACTGAAAATGCCTTCGCGTCGCCCACCCGCACCAAGCCAGAAACGCTGCACAGCTGAGACAGCCTGGCTGGGGTCTCCACGGGAGTCCACCCAACCCATGCATGAGGCCCCCATCCCACCACTATTCATCTCTGCTTCCTCCAGTGGGGACTGGACTAGACCATTGCGTGGGTCACTTTCCACCTCTGACCAGGCCCTGCCAGTCGCACCTGCCTGCCCGCCGTCCCAGGAGTGGAAAGGCAGCATCTGGAGGCACAGGCTCAGAGTCCCTCTGGCTGGTGACATACTCCAGCCCAGGTGGCTTCATCGTCTCACTCCCGTTCATGTTAAGGATGCTCGTCTTCCAAGGGCAGCCAGTGCTTGGGAAACTTAAAAGCAACCAGGCTGAGGTCAACTGCTCTCTTCTCCCCAACCCCCAGAGGGTGAGAATAACTGGACACCTAAGCCTCATCCTCTACTGATGAACATGGGTCCCAAACAGAGAGACCCAGACACACATACACCTTCCCTGATGGCACACCAGGGTGACCAGGGTCCCTTGGGGGAGTGTAATTTTGGGGGCTGAAAAGCAGCAACTTTGGGCCGAGGTGTGCTTTATTTCCCCAGCACATCTGGGGAAATACCCGGCCAAGTGTTTTAGCCAGCACCAGCCTGCCCAGCAACCAATCATGGCAGGCAAGAAGTGTGTTCATTTTCCTCTGGAGGAAAGATGCCCAGAGTGGGCCAACATGGCACATGAGGGGTGGGCGAGGATGGACACACTCCCTTTCCCGGTCCAAGGCACAAAGGCTCCCTAAGCATCTGAGCATTTCTTGCCAAAGCGTGACTCTCTGCTTTCCCAAATGCCACATGGACCAGATGCATCGGTGAGCCGGGACTCTGCCTCCCTACCCCGCCTCTCTCCAGCCACCTGCCCCCACCGCCTCTGCTCTGGGATTGTTCTGTTTTCATGCTCTCACTCACATATTTGTGTTCCTTTCCTTTTTTACTAGTACCTAATTTGGGCCTCTTCAACTACGTGGTGAAAATGTGCAGGGGGGTTATTTTCTTTTTCTTTTGTGCTACTGTTTCTTTCCACCACCACCCAGTCCTGCAACATCCGGCATGGCAGGAGGGACGGGGGTGGTGGTGGGGGGGGAAGGTGCAGGAAGGGAGAAGGCTGGATAAGAAAGAGGAGAACCAAGGTCTCGGTGGGGAATGATCATGAAAGGGCAACGTCAGTAAAACCCACAGCCCCAGTTCTACCTATAAAATCTTTGCAATCCCTTAGACAAAGCAGAATCGAGACTTTTTTTTCCAGGTTCCCAACTACTGCCAAACATCTTCCCCAAAGAAGCAGTGGAGAGTGAAGGGGAGAGATGAGAGAGTCCTTGCAGCCAGTGGTTTTCCAAGCACGAGGCTCCCTTTTCAACTCCCTGTGGTTGTGCAGGGGCTAGAAGCTGGGGGAGCCAGCCTGGGAGAACCCGGGGGAAAGAAAGCATCTTGTCTGGCAGCTCCTGGTTACTGGCAGTTCTCCCTCTTGTCCTGGAGCAACACATAAGGTTCGCTTTAGTTCGTTATGCGAGGGGTGCGTGCGTGTGTGTGTGTGTGTGTGTGTGCACATCTCTGTTCTCATCATCCATATTAATAACATTGATAGGAATGATGGGGTGCAGAGAGGCAAGCAAACGGGATGCAGTGAGTGTGAAGATAACCTGGAGACTTGAGGGGTCGTGTTGCTGAGGGAGAAGAGAGGTCCTGGGGGCCCACCTCCCCCCCATTTCCTACAGCGACCACTTACCCCTTCATTTCCCCACCACAGCAGCCTTTTTTGCCAGACTGGGTTGGTACCATCCTGAATGGCCACTCTGCTCGCTGCCTGGGCTAGAGGTCAGGATTAGTCATTGTATCTCCTGTCAAAGAGGGTTCTGGCTGCCCGCCAGTCCCGGTCCCTGCCTTCCTCTGGCCTGCCTGGGAAATGTCACCATCAGCACAAATACTTCCTTCTCTTGGCGGGGCCAAAGAGGGGGAAAGCCTGCAATGACCCTCTTTCAAAACACTGGAGCGAAGACAGGGAGGGGGCTGGGAACACAGGCCGTGAGCAGGGGCGTCCCTGCGCCCTCTGACCCCCGTCCTGCCCCCTCAGCCATCTGAGGGGACACGACCAGGGCTCACTCAGAGCCCAGAGCGCCTCCTCCGGGAGCCCGGCCCCTTCCGAAGCTTTCCGCTCACACAGGGAGCCCCTGTTCCTTCTGGGCAGGCCCAGACCCTTCCAGTCCCAGTCCCCTGCAGGCGCTCCCTGGGCCTCTCTTCCCAGCAGCCTGGGGAAGGCGCCATGCAGCCAACGCTTCCCAGGAGCCGCTGCTGAGAGGCTCAGGGGGCGTCCCTGCTCTCACAGCCAGGGCACCCGGGCAGGCAGCACCCAGGGACATCTTCCTCTCCCTCTGGCCTCCCTCTCAGAACAATTACCTCAGCTGTCCCACCTCCTTAGAAAGGGACCCAGCTCCCCAGGGTCAAAGCCCCGCTCTAGCTGCCTCAAAGGCCCTGAACTAACCCATCTGTTCTGCTGTTTCTCCCCCCCACCGCCCCGTCCAGGGCTGGTGGCTGCAGAGAATCATAACCAGACCCCCAAGCCCTCGAATGTTCAGGAACTCAACCCACTGACAGCTGCAGAGCCCACCTCTGACCACTGACCAGTGAGACCCAAGGAAGCCAGCAGGGCTGTGGGCCCAGGTGGGGAGGCTTGTAGGCCTGAGGCAAATGAAAGTATCTGTGCTTCCCACCACTTCCCCATTCCTCACCTGACATCCAGAGGAATCCAACAGCATCCTTTGGGGGTGGGTGGGGGGGTAAGATCGCAAAAAGGGGAGCACACAGCAGGGGTAGGAGGAACCCCATCCACTTTGCCGGGCGGTGGGGAGGACCGGCCAGGTGCCCCCTCTCTTGGTGTCCCAGATGCTGGCATCCTGGACTCGGGGACTTGATGGGGAGGGCCTCCCAGGCCCGACCCCTCTGGAAGCAGCGCCTAGAAATCCTCTGTTCCCAGGGTTGCAGGCCGTGATCTAGCCCGTCCTTTGCTGCCACCTCTTTCCCCACCAAGCCCCGTCCTTCCATCCAGACCAGGAGGACCTCAACAGCTTATCTCACTAAGTTCGAAGGACACTTTTTCTGTGGGGTTGGGAAAATCCACATCGACTGGAAGACCCTCTGTACCTCCCACCTCCAGCTGGGTGAGGGGCACCACTCCTGCCTGCTTTGCCCTCTGAAGCCCCCCAACCAACGGGGAGCCAGAGGCCAGGGGGCCTTGAAAAAGGAAGAGCTGTCCTGGTGTCCAGAACTGACAAAGGCTGGGCCTTTGGGGGAAAAAAAGAAAAGCACGTTGCCAGGAACTCAGGCCTGAGGAAAGAAAAGGGCAGGGAGGGGGGGTGGGGTTATAATAACTCTTCCTTTCCATGCCCTCTAGTTATTTAGGTGCAGGACTTCTTTGTGAGTGGAAACCAGGTCTCTGGCCCCCTCCTCAGGTCCCCCTCCTTTTACTTCTCTTCACTTCTCTTTACCTTACTTGAAAGATCTTTGACCTTCCCCACTCCTCCCTCAGGGCCGCCCCTTCCTCCCCCATCTCCAGGGATGGGAACGTACCACAGGTGACAGCGGTGCCCAGCTCTGAAAAGGAGGCAGGCGTGGTGGTCAGGGCATCCTCACTGGGAGTGTGAGCGCGGCTCTGCCCCCCGGGAGCCATGTCTCCCTTGGGTTGGGCACGGGCACACCCTAAGGAGGGGCCCACGGTGGGCAGCAGGGGAGAGGCTGGGGGGTCGGGGAGCAAGAGAGGAAGGGAGGCTGCCGTCCCAGCACCTGCATTCAGTCTGAGAACCACCTGAGGGGCAGGGAAGGTGGGTGGTCCTCAGAGCTCCCCACCAACCCCCTACACACGACTCAAAGAGGATACTAGGGGCCCCTCTTCTCTGAGTCTGGAAGCCTAAGTGTGCCCATAATCTTTCTTCGAGAGCACAGATCTCTCTCCTAAACTTGCCCCCATAGGAAAAGTAATAATAATCCTCTAATTTTTCTTCCTTAAAATATCTGAACTTTTAAAGGGAAGGGCCAAAAGGAATCATGCTGTGTTCAAAGCACAAAGACTAAATAAGATGCACCATGAGTGTAACTCTCCAGGGTAGCATGCAACCATCACCGTGAAACCCAAACCCTCCCCCAACCTTAAAACCTGTTATCTTCCCCAGCTCTGAAGGACTCTGGCCTGCCTCCCTCCCCACCCCCGCGGGCTGGCTACGTGGTCCCAGACGGCCTGCGCTGAGCCTGGGGAAGCAGCTGCTCTCCTAGGCCTGCCTGGCTCCCTACCTGACCCTGGGGCAATGACAGGAGCAGGGGCTCATTGGGACCTGCTGGCTCCTGCCTTAGGGGCTCTGAGCCAGTGGTGGGTTTAGAAGGAAAGCCACCGGAAGGTAAATCTCCTGGCAGGGGCCTTGTCTCTAATTCCTCACGCCAGTGCCTCCAACTGGATTTGCTACAGGCCCGAAAAGCAGTTTCAAAAATACGCACAGGAAACAGAGGGTTTCAACTTCCGGTTGGGATCCCGCAGCCTCACCTCCTCTCTGGTCGGCGGGAGCCACAACATCGGGGTGAAGCAGAAGAAAGGCACCCTGGCTGTTCCCAGGGTTTGAGCTGTGAGGCAACAGCACCATTATCTCCACGTGGTGGCCTCTGGACCCAGTGACCAGAACTACCAAGGTGTGGGTCCCTCCCCATGCCAGAGCCCATGCCCGGACCTTCAGCAGCATTACCTCTCGTCCCCGCAAAAACCCTGCCGGAGAAGCCATATCTCCCTGCCTCACAGATGTGGGAAATGAGGCTCAGAGAGGTTAAGTCATTTGCCTGAGGTCAACCAGCTAGAAACTAACAGAGCTGGGCTTTAAACCAAAGTTTTTAAGTGACTGTTACACTGAGCTGAATTATAGCCGTCTCCAGAAGTTAGCACCCCATTCTAGGCTGTGTTGCCTTTATAGAAGGGAGCATCTTCATTCGGAAATCCCCAGCCCCAGGATAGATCTCTCACCTTCCACCACAGATCCATGCTCAGTCACAGTTTTCTTGTCACAGCTTGACCTAGTTGCCCTGACCACAGGCAGCCTCTTCCTTAAAACATAAACCCCCTTTGGTCAAAATGGAGATTCCAAGAAGGCGTCTAACCTTGGCTAACTCACACAAGAAAGGGGGTGTAGAAATCATTTGGGGTCCCTACTTGACAAGTCCAGCTCTCCAGTGATGATTTATATAACATTATGCTTTTTAAGACTCCTGATGTCACTGTGGGACAGGCAGGACAAGTATTTTCTCCATTTCACAGCTGGGCAAACTGAGGTTCAGAGATGTTAAGTGATTTGCCCAAGGTCACACAGCTACTCAATGGCAGGGGCAAAACAAAAACCCTGACCATCCATGTGCACCCTGTGATTCTAGTTCATTCTCTGGGGCTCAAAGAAAGAGCAATTGTTGACCAACACTTTCCTTTTCTCAACACAGAAGGTGATAAATGTGACCATGACTTCTGTTTGCTTGCAGTGTCCTGCAAGTGCCACCTCACAAGCTGGCTTTGCTGTCCCCATTTTCCAGACGGGGAAACTGAGGTCTCCAAAGAAGAAGGGGTTGGGCCCATCCTTCAGGGAGTGAAACTGGGAAGGGAACTATGGGCCTTCCTGATGTCTGGTCCAGACTCCTGGCCACCCTCATCCCTGTGGAAGGTTACAGCACCGTCTTTGGTCTGCGAGACCCAATCCTACCCTCTCAGCTTCTGTGGCGGCAAGTGTGGCTGGAGAGAGAACAGAGCCACCCCATCATCTGCGTTGAGGTGGGGAACAGATTTGCACACACTCCAAAGAGGGTCTGTCACTTGTAGGGTCACTATTTTGGTTTCAGATTTGCTTTTTTTTAACTTTTAAGCCATTTGTGGCTTTTGAGAACATTTTGATGACTTTTTTCCTAAAATTAAATCAAGGTGATTTTTCAAAACCAATAACCAGGCTTTGAGGACGCTTACTTTGGGTTTTGTGGGAGGACAGAGAGCCGGAGTGGTCAGGAGAGGAAATCTGGCCCTCTGATATGACCCACCCGGGGTAAATGGACGATGCGACCACATAGCAACTTCCCAGACCCTCCCTGGGCCTCCGGAATCCAAAACGGGTTCACCAACCAGCAGGGGGAAGGAAATATCTCATGAGGAAGATGAAAATCTCATCTGGTCAGGCCCTTTAAACGAGGTCCTTATGTATGCATGGAACCCCCTCCAAGGCCACAGGCTCCTGCAGGAGACTGACTCCCGTCATTGGCCACAGGTCACCCCGTAGAGGACCTGGGGGAGACCAGCACAGCTCGGCTGTGTGCCAGGCTGCCCCGAGTCTGCCGGCCAAGAGCAATTAGCCAGGAAGAAGGGTTCTTGCCAAGTCTCGGCGAGAAGGCCGCAGCCCGGCAGAGGTAGCCCAAGCGGCCAGAGCCTCTGGGGCTCCAGAGGCTTCTTCAGGAGCTGAAGGACTAAAAATAACTTGGGCCTTTGTTGTAAGCAGCCAGACCACAGAGATGGAGCTGATGTCAAGGAAGCTGAGCGTGCGCCAGGGTCCTGCTCACCGAGACCTGTCCTTTAGGCAAATGATTTTTCCAGAAATGTGTCAGTTTTTGTGTGTTGCTGCTGTTGCCACTGCTGCGGAGAGTCAAAGGCAGCCCGGTCCGCTCCAGCCCACAGGGCTGACTTCCAACACAGACTTCTGGGAACTGAGCCTCCCCAACTCTGGCTTCTCAAAAGGAGAGTCCAGCATGTACTGGGGAGCTTAGGAGACAGGAGCAGCCCTCGAGCTGAAGCTTCTGTGTGATTGTCGCCCTGGTCATAAATAATCACATCACCCCAATTATTTGTTTAGGGAACAATCATTTCTCCCCCATCCTGAAATTTCAAGAGTCAGGTCTCAGTAGACAATGGCAAACATACACTATGTGGAAGGAAGGAATTACTTGGGAAAAGGAATTCGTAGTGTCACATCAATACTGAAGGGTTTCTCAGAGCTGCAGTCCTTGGGACCAACCTTCAGATTCTTGACCTGGCAGCCTTCACTCACCTTCCTGGTTCTTGAGTCCCACCAGGGAAAGCTCCAGACCCAGGCTGAGTGGAAGGCAGCGTCTGGGTCTCTTCCTCTGCCACAGGCTGTGGCCTGTCTCTCCTCAAGGATGCCCCAGCTCTGAAGGTCCGGTGCCTTGCCAGCCCATTCCTGATGGACAGCAAATACTGACTGGCTATGGCAGGGCCTCAGAATTATCTTCACAACATTTCCATCCACCCCTCAGGGCCTCCCCCCGACCCCCAGCCCCATCAAGAGATCGCCCTGGCTGTGGATGCCACTGGATATCTGCTGGGGAAGCAGCTCTTCCTCTTCACGGGGACCAAGGAACAAGGAGGGATTTCAGGGCTCCATCGTCTAGACAGCCTCTAGGTTCCGAGTCTAGAAGTTTCCAGCGGGACTTGTAATAAATAAAAACTTCTCCACAGCTCTTTGCTCCTCTGCTGGGTTCAGGATGAAGAGGCTAAGCTGGGGGCAGGGAGGCTGTGCGAAGATTTCTTGGAACACAATAGATAGGAAACACCAAACCACGCATGAGTGACTGATGGGTGGTCACAAAATGGGACCAGTGGCTCCTTACATGGGAACCAGTGAGAGGGCCGCAGTGCTAGGGTAAATGTGAGGGGGGTCCACAGGGCTGTGGCTGGGGTCCTTCTTCAAAAGTTTACCATCTTTCTGGCAGAAACAGGAGGGGCTGGCTGAAGAACGGAAACCTGTGTGTAGGAGTTAAGCAGATGTCTCGCCCCCTCGGTTCCACGTGTCCACGCCCTCTGTGGTTACTGATGTTCCTTACAGTTGGTCTGTCTGGAAATACAGGAGTAGGGGCTCGATCTGATCTGAACTGGGCTCTGCTTCAGCCTCTCCGGCGGCAAGCCCCATTCTGTGACCTGGGGCCCTAGGCCTGGCAGCCGAAGGCTGAGGCTTTTTCTTTGAGCAGTTCCCAGCATAAGTGGCAGCTCCAGCTCCCTACAAGAAATGAGATGGCATTACTAGCAGCCCCGCCCCCGACCCTCAAGCCCCACCCCTCGACCCTAACCTTTTCGTAAGCCCTGTTTTAGTTTGACTTTCACGATTCAGAGACCGAGTCCCAGTTCTGAGTCTGTCGCTCAGCTGCTCGGGAAACAGAAAGTGCTCAGAGATGATTGGTTGAACTGCAGTGAAGACCCTCCCTCCTTGGCTGTGCCTCTTAACCAGCATCACCGGGTCTGGACCACTTCCTCTAGAAGCTCACACCTCCCCCGCCCTCTCAGCCATATGTCTGGGAAACACCTCCTTGGCCCTCAAGTTGAAATGTCAGCTGGTTGAGCTGTGCCTCAGTTTCATCATCTGTAAAATGGGAGTGGTCATACCTGCTCCGCAGGGTTGTGACGACTAAATGAGATAAGACACATAAAGCCCTTAGCGCAAGGCCTGCACATTAGTGAGGGCTCAGTAGGTGGTAGAAGCAGCTGTTGTTGTTATTGTTGACTTCATCACCATTACCTTCTGGGGGCACACGCAAAGCCCTTAGCGCAAGGCCTGCACATTAGTGAGGGCTCAGTAGGTGGTAGAAGCAGCTGTTGTTGTTATTGTTGACTTCATCACCATTACCTTCTGGGGGCTCAGCCACTGGGGGATTTAAACAGTACATGTGGTAGCCGCGGTCACAGTCATCACAGAAGAGGAGCTGGTCCTGGTGGAATGCAGAGTAGGAGGAGAGGAGGAAAGTTTGAATTATTTAGAACCAACATCTGGCCCCCACCTACTCCGCCTGCCTTATTTCCATTGATCAACTTCCCTGGACGCCCCTTTCCAGGCCCCATTTAGTGTCCTCACTGTCCCTTGAACATGCCTTGTGCTTTGCCCACACCTGGAATTTCCCCCTCTGTCTCCCAAACTATGCGCATCCTACTCCCACTTAAGAGTTCCGTTCAAATCATAGCTCCTCCAAGAAGCCTTCCTAGACCACCACCTCACACCCAAGCTGAAAGGGATTCTTTATCCTTCTGAACTCACATAGCCAATAATTCTGCCTCCATAAGGGCGGAAAACTAATTTCATGCATTTCTGTGTTCTCCAGGATGATTGCCTAGTGCCTAGAAAGTACTTTCAATGTTTGCAAATTTTAATTGAATTCCTCTCAACCTCACTCTTCCCATTTGTGCAACGGGCAGCAACCATACTTGCTGGTAACATCCATAACACGTCAGAACTTTTTCAGGGTTTCATTATGCAAGTTTAGAGAAATGCAATGCCACCTTTCAGCTCTCAAAAGCCTCTTCGGGGGCTGGAGGCTGGAGCCAGGTGAGAACTGTCCCCTCCAGTGCTGTGGTTAACTTCCAAGGACACAGTAGGCACCTTGGCTCCTGCAGTTCCCTCTGCCTGGAGACTCTCCCAGTGCCTGACCCCTTCTGTTTTGGACCATTCCCTACCCACCCTTCAAGTCTTCAAACACTTCTCTTCCACAAAGCTTCACTAATCTTCGTCAAATGGAATTTCTCTGACCCCTCTTGCATCCTCATAGTACTTTCTCTTCCTTAGGACACTTAATTGTACTTTTCTTTATGCTACAAAGCCTGGCATGTGGTAGACATGTTCACCCAGTCCATTTGGGACATGCCTCTTTTGTCCACTCCTTTATAGACTGCAAGGCCCTTGGGGCAGAACCTTGTCTTACTCATCTCCGCATCTCCTTCAGAACTTCCTTGCACATAGTAGCTACTCAGTAAGCGTTTGTGATCTGGTCCCCATTCTCCAGGTTCAGCCCTGTTCTATTCAGTGACCTTTGGGCCTGCTTTGATGGCTTATAAGATGTCTGCAAAGTTAAGTTCTGTATCAAATCTCACCTTGGCTCTCACCAGTGTAGAGATCCTAGAAAAAGTAGATATAGAAGTTGAAAACCCCTGTGAGCAAGCCAATGGGGCAGGAGAGATCATGAATGATCTTTTTTTTATATCATGCTAAGACCTTTCAATAGGACAATGGGAAGCTTCCGAAGAGTTAGCAATAGAGGAATAACATGGTCAGCCTTGCAGTATAGAAAGATCTCACTAGCTGCTGTATAAGAAAAGATATCCAGGTGGAGAGAGATTGGTTCTTGAGGCTGGAAGGCCACTTAGGAGGCTACTACAGTCGTCCAGGTAAGAGATAACTTATGATGGTGGCCTGAACTAGGGTTGTGGCTTGGGGGAGAGAAAAGGGGCTTGCTTCCATCTGAGTGTCATTGATTAGATGTAGAGAGTGATAAGGAAGAAATCAAGGATGTCTTCTAGGTGGTGGCTTGGTCGGCAAGCCAAACGATGTAGCCATCCACTAAGGCGTGGGCAGAGGAGCAGACCTGTGGGAGGCAGAAGGCAACCCCAGCTATGAACATGATCTGTAGGTCTACAGATCACCTGGTGAGGGTGCCTGGAGGCAGCTAGAGGTCGGGAGAGAGGCCTGGGCGTAAGATATGGACTGGGGAGTCACTGGTGATGAGATGGCACTGGAGGTCCTGGGAAGGGAAGTCCAGAGTACGTGAGAGCAGATGTCTTTGAACTTGTGCTCATGGAGGGGTGTTCGTGAACTCCTAGAAATTATATGCACAACTCTGTGTATAGGTACAGAGGTACATTTTTCTGAGCAAAGGGTAAATCCATAGCTTTCGTTGAATTTTCTGAAAAATCAAGGACTCAAAAAAGTTACTGAGGAGAAGGCCAAGAATAGATCCTCGGGGAACACCAAAGCTAAGGCCCAGGCAGAGAAGAAAGAGACTAAGAAACAGCAGTCAGAAAGGTAGGATGAAAACCAGAACAGTGTGGTTTACTCCAAAAGAGTTACACCATTATTGTTGGAGCTGAAATAAGCTAAATGACAATATGATTTAGGGATAATACAAGGAGAAACCAGTTAGGATAGGGACAGAAAACAGGGAGAGACTTGTGAGAAACAGTATTATTAATATCTGAAATACACTGATAACTCCTACTCTAGTGCTGACACGAGAAATACAAGGAGGTAGAATATACTGGATTGGACTTTCCCAAAGGGAAAGCAAGGCATCTGTGGGTTTAAATGTCTCTTTCATGGGTTGACCATTGTCTAGCACCATATTCTCTTCTTTTCCATTTGCTTCTCAGATAATTGCCAGCCAAACCCACCAAAAAAACCCCAGCCCATGCGGACCCCCATGAGAAACACAATTTCAGGACATCTTACTCCCAAGTAGTCAAGAACCAGAATTCACCTATGGCTACAGTTCCAGGAGAATGGGAATCCCTTTCTGGGATGTGCAGGGTAAATCCCTGGCTATGTGAGAGGCACCCCCTATTGCCCGAGCAGCCTCACTCCTTGATTCCTCCCCTAAGGTTCTGCCAAGTCAACAAAAAACCTCTACATTAACATTATTTGTAAAGCCAAAGACCAGAATCAACCCAAATGTCCATCAATAAAGGACTGGTTGAATAAACTAATGAAGAGCTATGCAACTGTAGGAAGGAGTTAAGATCATGTCTATACATTGCTGTGGAGTAACCTCCGGGATATTCAGTGAAAACGCAAAGTAAAGAAAACAGGTATATCTTTCTACCATTTTCTAAGAAAATGCATCCACTTTCTTATGGATTCATGTGCACATACACACGTTTCCATTTAACACAATAGAAAGATAAACCATAATTTTTTAAAATGGTCCTATAAGCAGGGTGTAAAAGAGGTAGGGATAGAAGTTAGATTTCTTTGAACATACTGTTTATTTTAAAAATTTGACTCTGGAGCCAGTAAATATTTTACATGGTCATAAAGCAAAATTCACAGGGTAACTATCACTAAAAAAAAAAAAAAAAAAAATGAAACAAATGAATCTAATCACGTACTAGTTGGTGGCATAACCACACAGAAAGAAACTATTCCAAGTGACTTGGAAACAAGTAGTTGGACTGTACCTCCTCAGTCAAATATATCTTAAGGACAAAAACAAGTGCAAATATGCATATACATATACATACATATATATATTTCTTTTCAGCAATCATATTAGTGTTGTTAATAGTGGAATTGATATTCTATGTGTGTATCAAATGAGTGGTTATGTTGGTAATGAGTAGCAAAAATTTTGACATGGTTAAAAGAAAATACAGATGTAAGAGTGATAAGGTTAAGTGAAAACCCTATAATTAGTTCTGGCAATGAATTGGAAGTATCAGTGTAAATTCACAGTGTATTTTATCTTTAAAACAAGCAAAACCTATTTTCTAGCTCTGTCCATTGAAAATGCTCCCAAACAATGACTAATGCAGTAAAAATTAGCACCCCATCACCCATATTATATCTTCTAAAAACCATTGCCCACTAAAAGGAACCAGGAGTCATTGGATAAATGGCTGATTCCAGGTCTGGAGCATGAAATGTGTAAGTATCGTTACATATAGGAAAGCAAGGAAACAAATACTACTGAGATAGGGACTTCCCTGGTGGTCCAGCGGTTAAGAATCCATCTTGCAATGCTGAGGACGCCTGTTCGATCCCTGGTCGGGGAATTATGATCCCACGTGCCGCGGGGCAACTGAGCCTGCATGCCACAATTACTGAGCCCGCTCTCTCTGGAGCCCCTGTACCTCAACAAAGAGCCTGCGCGCTGCAACAAAAGATCCCGTGTGCAGACCTGACGCAGCCAAAAAATAAATAAATATTAAAAAAACAAATACTACTGAGGTCATGTCAGAAGGACTCAGGATCCAAACTGTGTTCCCACTGGAACAAAAGTGGGAACACTGTCCCAAATATGGGACAATTTTAACTGTAATGGATTGAAATAAATCAAGTATGTATAAATCCTCGAGTCCATAGATACTATTTTCTAAAAACTTTGTCACTTTTGTTAGATGCTAGGGAAACATCCCATCATTTTTTAATTTATTATATTGAAATAATTTTAGTCTTAGAGAAAAGTTGCAAAAATGATACAGAGTTTCTGCGCACACTTTACTGAGCTTCCCCTACAGTTAACATCTTACATTACCACAGCACAATCATGAAAAGCAGGGAATCACCATTGCCATTAGCATGACACTATTGACTAATCTGCAGACCTCACCTCATTTGAATTTCACCAGCTTTTTTTCCCACTTAAGTCCTTTTCTCCAGGATTCAATTCAGGATCCTACATTCCATTTAGTTGTTAGGTATTCTTAGTGCCCTGAATCTGTGACAGTTCCTTGATTTCTTTGTCTTTCATGACTTTGACACTTTCGAAGAGTCCAGGCCAGTGATTTTGTAGAATGTCACTCAGTCTGAGTTTGTCTGATCTTTCTTGCATAAGAGGAGATCCTCTCAGTGCACCTTATCGGGGGCACGGACACCAATGTATCTTATTACTAGTAATGTTACTCTGATCCTATAGTTAAGGTAGTATAGTATCTGTAGTGTAGTTTTTCCACGGTAAAGTTATGGTTTTTCCCTTTGTAACATATTAATAAGTAATCGGGTAGGGGAGATACTTTGAGATCAAGCAAATATTCTGCTTCTCATCATACTTTTGCCTGCTAATTTTAGCATCAATTGATGACTCTTGCTTACAACAACCATACCATGATGTTTGTCTACTGGTGATTTCCCTCTGCCCTCTACATTTATTAATTGTAATCCTGCTCTAAGGAAGAGTTTACCTCTTCCCCATTCATTCATTAATTCATTCACTTATTCAATTTTTAAAATGTTAATATGAATATTTATTTTGTCTTTGGGTTATAATCCAATACTATCATTATTTACTTTGTTGCTCAAATTGTTCCAGATTGGGCCATTAGGAATTCCTTCAAGTTGGTTCCTGTGTCCTTTACCAATTTTTTAGCACCTCCTTACTTTCTAGTACCACAGGAGGCTCCGGCCTCCTCTTACATTTTCCCAGCTCCAGCTATTTCTCCAAGAATCCCTGGCTCCTTTTACTGGAGAATGGTATTTAGAAACCAATATCTGGGTGCTACAGGTCCTCATTGCTTCTGGGTTGTCATTGCTTCTAGGCCCTTACGACAGAGTTAGGAAATAAATGTACGTGTAGGTGCACATCTATATTTATTTCTGTATTTATCCACATGTGTGTGTACATATAAATAGTTATAGATATATAAACAAAATATATTATATTTAAAAGCGTAAATTCATACTGATACCCCCTATTCCAACCCAGGACCACAGGGTTCAGTCTAGCCTTCCCCCTTTATTTGATTTTTCTTTCTCGGACATTGGGAAACCTGGCTCTCATTATTCACAATATATATGTATCAGTTCAGACCTGCAGACACATCAAGTAGTTTCAGAATGACTAACTCACATGCCTGTGAGAAACAAATTTACTAACTAGCATATAATATGTGTATAGTCATTTCTGTCTTTAGCCTTAAAATACACAGTCAAATACTACTTTCCAAAGTTATCTAGGTTAATTTTTTCCTTCCCTACCCTTCAGTATGGCCATGTTACTATTTATATTATAGTTAAGTTCATTTGTTACTGTTCATATTCCATTTTCGCTTCCCCCAACTCCTGGCTGAATTTCAGTATTTATCTTGAGGGTATGTGAAACAATACCTTGGTTCAAAGAGTCAGAGCTATACAAAAGGTATTTTCAGAGAAGTGTTACCCCCCATCCCTACTATCCCACCCCCATTTCCCCATTCTTTCTACCCCATTCCCACCTACCTTGTAGATGACCAATCTCTTTAGTTTTTTGCTTATCCTTCCTGTATTTCTTTCACACAAGTAAATAGATATATGTATATTTTCTTATGCCTTTCTTGCAAGAATGGCAGCTTACTGTAGATATCATTTTTACTGTGCTTTTTTATTTAACAAATTCTGGAAATCGCTCCATATTAATTCATAAAGATCTACATCGTGTTGTTGTTGTTTTACAACTGCCTAGTACTTCATTGTGCCATCCTTTATTCAACCATTTTGTGTATAAGCATTTAGGTCATTTCCAATATTTTCCAATTATAAACAGTGTGACTATGAATAACCTCACGCATATGTATTTTCATAGAGTTGTGGGTATATCTTTAGGGTAGATTCCTATAGGTGAGACAGCTGAGTCAAAAGTCAAGTGCACAGTAGCTGTGTTAGGTATTGCTAAATTTCCCTCCAGAAGGGTTGTACCACTTTGTATTCCCAGTGACAATATATAAGGGTGCCACCTTTCCCACAGCTTCATTAACAGAATGCACTGCCATACTTTTCTTTCCCATTCTTATGGGTAAGAAATGATATCTCAGTTTTGTTTACATTTTAATTTCTTTAATTATGAGTGCATTCAAACTTTTTTTTGCAAATATGTAAGGGTCATTTTTATATCTTTTGTGAACTGTTTTTGATACCTTTTTCACATTTTCTATCAGGTTTATGGTCCCTTGTTCCTCAAATTTTAAGAGTTCTTTATATATTGCCACCTTTATCTGTGGTATATGATGCAAATATTTTCTCCCATTTTATCAGTTGTCTTTTTACTTTATTGTGTTTTTTACTATGCAAATGTTTATGTGGTCAGATTTGTCAACATTTTCTTTTATTCCTTCCGAATTTTGAGTCACAGAAAATCTTTCCTTATATTTAAAGAGAAATTCATCCATGTTTTCTTCTATTACTAGTATGGTTTTATTTTTTATATTTATATTCCCAGTCCACTTGAAGGCTGTTCTTACATATTACATGAGATATGGACCTAATTTTATCTTTTCCCAAATGGTTACCCTGTTGTCCCAGCACTGTTCATGAAAATGTCCATCTTTGATCCAGTAATTTTAGACACAACCTTTATTTTATACTAAATGTCCATATGTAGTTGGGTCAATTTGTGGGTTTTGTATTCCATTCCACTGGTCTTTTTGTCCATACTGTTTTAGTTTCAGAGGCATTACAGTATGTTTTAATATCTAGCAGGGCTAGACTCCCTCCATAATTTGTTGTCTTTCAGTGTTTCCTTGGCTATTCTTGCATGTTTGTTTTTCCATATGAACTTTAGTATCACTTGTCTTGTTCCATTAAAAAGCATGTTGGTGCTTTTATTGGGTTTGAATCAAATTTGTAAATTAACTTAGGAAGAACTGAGATCTTTACAATGTTGAGTCATTCTATCCAAGGTCACACAATGTCTTTTCATTTGTTCAAATCTATTTCTATGCCTTTCAAAAGCATTTAAAATTTTTCTTTATTTAGGTTTTACATACTTACTGTTAAGTTTATTTCTAAATATTTCTTATTTGTTGCTACTGTAAGTGGAGTTTCTCTACCATAATGTCTTCTAACTGGTTATTATTTGTGCATATGAAAGCTATTAATTTTTGTATGGTAATTTTATATCCTGCTACCTTTAATGTTTGAGTTAGCTTTACTATTCATTCTCTAGACTTGCCCAGATATACTATTAAAGTTATGAAATAGAGAAAAACTTTCTACTTTGTTGCCATTCTTATACTTATTGTTTTCTCTTGCCTAATTGCATTAGCTAATATCTCTAGAAAAATTATGAATAGTAATAGAGATAGTGGGCATCCTTACCTGGTTCCTGATCTTAGCAGAAATGCCTCTACTATTTCTCCATTAAATAAGACAATGGCTTTAGTTCTAAGGTATAAAAAGTTTATCATGTTAAGAAAATATCCCACAATTTCTATTTTCTTGAGGGTTTGATCATGAATACGTGTTGAATCCACCCCTTATTTTGAAAACTGATAAATAAAGGGAAAGAATCTAGTATTTATCCTGCCTCTTCTATATAATCTATACATGAAGGTAACCAAATATGAGGTTGGAAAAGTTTCTCTTTATAGAATTATTCCAGCTAATAAACAAAGAAGAAATTATGGAATAAGAATATCACTATTTGCGACCCCTAATGAAATAGTTAGTGTAGTCAAAGATGCTGCCATCATGAAAAGAGAGACACCAGGTATTACATACCTCCTAATGAAAGTATACCTCACTATTTATGAAGTAGTCTTGCTATTTATATATTTTAGAGACAGAGAAAGAAAGAGACAGAGAAAAAGAAAGAGAACCTGGATGTGATCAAGCCTCTAGCTCTAAGCACCAATGTACAAGAAATACAAGAGACAGAGGAAGATGTCAAACACCACCACAGGGATGCAGTTAGTAAAATACAGTCATGGGAAACTCTATTGAACAAATAAATTGATTTCTTCAACCAAAAACATCAAGGGAGGGCTTCCCTGGTGGCGCAGTGGTTGAGAGTCCGCCTGCCGATGCAGGGGACACGGGTTCGTGCCCCGGTCCGGGAAGATCCCACATGCCGCGGAGCGGCTGGGCCCGTGAGCCATGGCCGCTAAGCCTGCGCGTCCAGAGCCTGTGCTCCACAATGGGAGAGACCACAACAGTGAGAGGCCCGCGTAACACAAAAAAAAATCAAGGGAAAAAAGATCAAAATAGAAGGAAACCCTATATATTAAGAAACTTTAAAGATATATCAACTAATTGCAATGTATGAGTCTTATTTGAATCCCAATTCAAATAAATTGTAAATAAAAACGTTTTAAAACAATTTATGATTATTAACACAATGTTTAAGACAATTGAGGCAATAGGAATGTTGACTGGATGTTTCATTATATTAAGGAATCATTGATTTTTTAAAATATTATTGTTAATATTTTAGTTATATTTGTTAATAAGTAAGTCCTTATCTCTTTTTTTAACTTGAAAATAAATATATTCACAAGCTGTAAAACATAAATCCTTATATTTTTAGACACATATGGTATTTACAGGTGAAATGATATTATGACTAGGACTATAATATCGTGGAGAAAGACGTGGCAATATTTACAAAAACAGGATTGGACATGTATTGATCATTGTTGAAGCTAGTCATGGGGGTACCTCAGTTTCACTATTTTCTCTATCTTTGTATATATTTGAAATTGTCCATAACAAAATGTGGGTTTTTTAAATTCTGCATCTATTATACTTAACATTTAGACCAAGTGAGATGACACACTCCAGAACGTGGTGTAAAGAGCCAAGCACATCCCGACCGTAAGCAGTGGGCACCATTGTCTGTCAATGAACCCTTGAGGGCTAACGGCCAGCAAGGCAGCCTCTGGCCATCACTTCCTGCACCTCTCTCCACAGGCACGAAGAGTACCCAAGGTCCCTGGAGCACAAGGGTCCCAAGGGTCCTCGGGGCAAAAGTCAAGAAGGAGGTCCTGATGGATATTTTCCCCAGGAGTCCAGTGATGAGAATCCTGCCTTCCTCTCCAATCCTCGAAGGACTCCCAGCTCCTTGTATTTCTCCCTCCCATGCGGGAAGCCCCACACTCACATCATTCTCCGAGGTCCCACAGAGGATACAGGATTTGCACTCTATGCACTGCCACTTGTAGGTCTTGACAGCCTCGGTCATGTTCAGGGTGAACTGCAGGCAGGTGGGGTGACCTGGAGGAAGCAGAAATGGCAGCATTAGGGCCAGAGGGTCTGACCTGTCACCCCTCAATGCCACAACATCATGGCCAACTTGGAGGGAGGGTGGGGTAGCACGGGTTTTGGAGTAAAGTGGGAGCCTGGCTGGAGCCCTACCCACCATCCTCACCACCACCCACAGTTACATCAGATCAACGCTCAAAGAGAGAAATAGGTATTAAGCCTTTTGCTGAGGAGAGATGTCATCCAAGTCCTCTTGCCCTAAGAGCCATGTTCCCCCAGAGACGTAACCAGTTGATGAGGACAGAAAGTGGTGATCAGAGAGAAAGAGAAAGGAAATCGCACAGCACAAGGCGACACCGTGAGAGTCAGCAGCATTACCTCCCCGGCATCGATTGTGGTGGGAGGTAACACACATGGGCTATTTGCAGCTGAGCCTTCTGACCTGCAAAGCTGTGCACACTGCCTTAGGGTACCGGGGAGGAGATCAGAGGGAACATGTGAGGCTCCCGGGAACAGAGCTCAGGGGGCACTGGGAGGCACTACACTGCCACCTAAGGTGTCCATGTCCACGCCCAGGGGACAAGCAGAAGTCCACGCCCTGCACAGTAACAGGCCCTATGGAGGGAAGCAGCCTGGCAGGGAGGGTGAAGAAGTGGAGCACCACTGCAAGGGAGCACGACAGCCAGGTCTATCCTGAAAGGACTCGTCACTGGCTCTAACTCTTCTCTCCATCCTATGTATCACGTTAGCCAAGCCAATAATAAGAGCAGGGAGGGACATTAATGTGACCTAAGAGGACCCAGCCCCAGCAGACCTACACTGGAGCTGGGCTCTGCTCTCAGCCACCGCCCACTCAAAAGAGAGACACCAGCAGCAGGAGGACAGCTGTGAGCCACAGAACGTGAAGACCTTGACCTCCTATTTGGCAGGGAAGGGAAACTTGGATGATGACCCCCGGTTTCCCAGGGCTGTGAATCAGACAGGGATCTGCCCAGACACCCCGGGCAAAGCCCTTTACTGACTCTGTCACAAAAGAATTGATAGTTTTGCCTATTGCTAGGGGTTCACCCTTCTCCCAATTCTGCCAAATCCACCATATAGTGCATGTGTCGCCTCTTTCACGTGAGGGATTGTGAGCTTCTAAAGAAGGATAGTATAGATGGGGCACCAATTAGGGGCAACCAACACAGTGTCCAACCCAGTGTCCCCCACAGTCAAGATCCCACGCGGTACCACCACTCCTTGGCAAAGCCACATCCCAGCAGGAGGCCCCCATTTCTTCTTTTCCAAACCCTCACAGAGTTCTATCATGGTCCTTTGGGGGAAATACTGTCTATTCAGTCACTATAAGGACCCTTCAGGTCTGGGCCGCCACCAATGCAAACCACACTGAGTTATCTCTGAGAGTGAGAGTGGGGACAGAATGACTCATGGTGAGGGGAGCTGGGGACACCTAGCAGATAGCAGGCGGGAGCATTGAGGAGAGGACTGATCTAAAAGCATTTCTAGGACTTCTCAGGAGCCATGCAACTCAGACCCTCACAGCTCTGAATAACCCTCTCAAAGTGACACCATGCCAGTGACCCTGGGGAGAGCAAAGGCTTACATTAAAAGCCTGGATGAACATCCAGCTGATATTCCTGACAGCATCTCAAAGATCTGTCTAAGAAGAACACTAGCCAGGGTTGTTCCCTATTCTGATCTCTCACACAGAACACTGGGATGGGAATAGGAGAGAAAATACCAGTTTGAGATTCTGGGTGGTCTGGGCCATAGATGCCCAGGTTCTCAGATAGGGCATCTGGTAAGGTTGAAGATGAATTCATGGAGTATATACCTAGAACAGCAGGTTGATGTTGCCCTGTTCCGCTGCCTTAGGGCACACCCAGCCACAACCAGCCAGCTTACAGTAATTGTTCATGAACTAGGGTTTATTGAACATCTGCTAGGCCAGCCATGGCACTAGACAGAAAAGATACAGTGGTGGGCAAGACCCCCACCCCCAAACCCTTCTAGTCTGGTCAGAGAGAACTCAAATTAATAAACTACGCACATACCTATTTACCTATAATTGTGTAAGTACTGTAAAGAAAAAACACAATTGGCAATGAAAAAAATCACAGGAGAATCAAATCTAGTCTGAGATGTCAAGGAAACCTTCCCTGAGAAAGATCTTTAAGCTGATACCTGGCAGATGAGGGGGAGTTAGCTGAGTGGGCGAGGGAGAGGATTCCACATGAGGAGAACAGCACGTGGAGAGGCTCTGAGCAGTGGAGGAGCTTGGCAAATTCAACGGAAGGGAAAGGCCAGTAGGCAGAGGCTTGCCGAGCAAAAGGAGGAGGGCAAGAAGTGCCCAGAGAGGTAGCTACAGACAAGTTACATGGGCCCTTGTGGCCCTCATTTAAGGATCTGGGGCTCTAAAATCATTAAAGCATTTTAAGCAAGGCAGTGACTGAATTGCCTTGTGTTTTTAAAGGAGCATTCCTTCAGCACGAGGGATCTTTGGGTGGTGAAGCAGTTCTGAACCTTGATTGCAGTGAGTTACGTATTGATAAAATTGCAAAGAAGTGTACACATACATGCATAAACACACATGTGTGTGAATGTAAAACCAATAACGTATGGATAAGGTCTGTGATTGCATCGTGTCAGGTGCCTGGTTCTGATAGTGTACTATGGTTACGGAAGATGTTACATTGGGGGAAACTGGGTGAAGAGTGCATGGCACCTCTCAGTAATGTATTTTGTAACTTTCTATGAAGCTCTAATTATTTCAATATAAAAAGTTGAAAAGGTCTTTTTAAATAAGGAAAACACAAAGAAAAATTTAAGTCATCAAAAAGGAGGGAAGGAAAGGGAGGAAGGGAGGGAGGGAAGAAGGGAAAGGAAAGGAAAGGAAAGGAGGAAGGAAGGAGCTGCTGTCTAAGGAAAGAACTGGGGGCGGGGGGCAGAGGGAATGTAGAGATGTAAGAATTGTTGCCAGGAAACTAGTTTGGAGGTGGATGTTGCTGTTAGGAGAGAGACAAGGATGGTGGAGGTGGAGCTTGGAGAAATATTAAAGAAATCATTGACAGGACTTGACCATTATTTGAGCATTGGGAGTGTGGGAAAGAGATGATGAGAAATAGTCTCAAGATTCCGACCTAAGAAACAAGGTGGGTTGCAGTGAAACTTACTCAAATGAGGAACTACAGAAAGCATATAGGGACCAAATGGGGGAGGGGGAGGAGAACTCTGTTTTGAGCATGTTGAATTTGGGAAGTCTGTGAGACTTTGGGTGGAAATGTCAAGCGGATGGTCGAATATAGGGGTTTAGCGCTCAAAAGAAATATGAACTAGACATAAATTTAGGAGGTTTTGCTAAATAGGTGGTCATAGAAACCATGAGAGTTAATGAAATTATCTAGGAAAAGGGAAAAAAGAGAAAGGAAGAGGAAAGAAGAAAGAAAAAAGTCTAGGACTGAGCTTTGAGTAACTCAACCATTTGAAGATCAAAAGAAAGGACCAACAGAGGAAACTGGAAGGATGGCTGGAGAGAGGTAAGATGCAAACCGTTCAAGTATGGGTCTCAGCGGCCCAGAGAAGAGCTTTCAAGAAGGAGAGGGTGGTCAGCGGTGTTGACTGCCAAAGGTTCATGAGTTTGTCATTGCTCGATAAGGACCCTGAATGAGGGCCTGCTGACAGAGCTGAGCAGAAGTTGCCCTACTAATAATAATACCCTCAGCAGTGTCACCTTCCCCGGGAAGGAAGGTCAGCACATTCCAGAGCGTGACATGTAGCTCCACAGCTGGCCTCTGGATGCCTCCGGGGGTGAGGGTGGGGGGGTGCATGCTTCATGAAGCCAACAACACTCCCCAAATATTTACTGAGAGCCAACTCTCTTTTCAAGACCTCTCGACCACTGAAGACATTTTCTGGGATAGCTTTGGACCAGTGAACAGTAGCAAGTGGGCTTGAGAAAATCCTGTTGGAAGTGTCTCAAAAAATCCCATGGACTTTCTCTGTGTTCCGGTTTTGAGAAAGTCACCAGCCTCCCCCCAAAGACCTTCACACCCAAAGGAAGGGAACGAAGCTCACACAGCCTCCACCCCAGGTAAAATGTAGGACTAAGATTAGCCTCAGCTCTGGCTACAGAGCTCCTTCAGTTCAGAATTCAGACTCAAGTGGGAGAGGAAAGGAGGGGATGCAATTTCTCAGCTGCGGAGGGTGAGACACAAAGAGTTAAGTCACCCAAGCTGCCATTAGCAGGTGCAAAAACTATGCCCAGAACTAAGTCCTCCTTTCTGTGCCACCAGAACAGGTTGCCTGTCTGCTGCCTTTCTCTACAAACTGGAAAAGTCATTTCCCAGATAAAACTATAGGGATAAGACTTCTTATCTACCATGGAAATGACTGGAATAAAGCATACTGTTGGACAAAAGGAAAAGTTGCTAAGGAAAGTGCTAGAAGCCCATATCTAAGTTTTACTGCTAGAAGTCCTTATTTTTGCCCAGAACTAATTTCTAAAATCCTTGGAAGTAAGTGGATAATAGTCTTTCCAACTCAAGGGTGGTAGAAAATAAAGAGGCACCTTGGCAGTAAAGCAATTTACTTATGGCCACCCACTACTTAAAGATTCCTGTCTTAATCTGTTTTGTAAAATTAACCATCATTCTCTAAAGTGCTTGCTTGGAAATCTAGATTTTCCATATATCCAGTTTTCTTAAAGCGAGGAATACCTGCATTGCTATTTAAATAGCCCAATGGAGTGAAGGGGAAACAACACTTCCCGGGTCCCCTGGGTGAGATGATTCAACAGGACATTTATAAGATTTCAATTACCAAAATGGATTTAGAAAGTGGCGTGGTGTGCATGATTCATCCCAGCTAGATCATTAAAAACCAAGTCCTTCCTGAGTGTTCCTCCAAATTTGTTCTATTAGGAGGGTTCAATAAATCTTCTGCCCGTTTGTTCAGTTGGTCCAGTGGTGAACTTGGTGTAAAGAGACATTCTTAATCCAGCCCTAATCCCT